GATAATTTTCTTAGGGTCTTTAAAATGCATAGTGAAATATGTATGTGTGTGTGTGTGTGTGTGTGTGTGTGTGTGTGTGTGAGTATACCCCCAAAAGCCTGAAATTTATTTATAAAAACTTGTGTATTTATTCTTACATGTTTAACTTCAGTCACCTTCAAAGTACTCTCTATTTGATGCAATACACATATCAAGACATTTTTTCCGTTGCTCAAAACAGTTTTTGAACTCATCAATTTTGATGCCTTTGAGAGCTTCTCCCTTTTTCTGTTTCACTTGTTCCACATTGGCAAAATATTTCCATTTGAAGACTTTTTTCATCCAGGAAACAAAAAAAAAGTTGCTTGGGTGAGATCAGGTGAATAGGGAGGGTGGGCATGGGGGTTTATGCTATTTTTTATCAAAAACTGCTAAACAGTGCAGTGTGGGAAGGTGCGCTAGTAAACCACCCATTAAGAAATGGGCAAATGTATTGAAAGAGACTTCAAAAAAATCTCACTGAAGTCAAACACAGTCTCTCACAACCCAAACTAATACACTAATACAGATGGGTTCCTAGTACTATCACCTAGTGGGGGAAGCCTGTACTACAAAGGGCCCACCCTCCAGAATATAATTCTGTTTTTTGGGGGTCCCCTCTCATATATATATTTTAAGGAAAAAGAACCTAAATATCTAATGACCCTTGACCTAATTATGAAAATGAGATATATCAATCATAGGTTTAAAGTTGGCAACAAAGCTAGGTAGGCTCACACAGGACAAAACCTCTACTTTGAAAACTTATGAAGGATTGGCCTCTGTCCAAAAAGGCCAATTGTCAGTGGAGACATATCACTCTGTGTTCTTGTGTTGTGATTCCAGAGCTTCTTATAGGTCTATACAGCAATTTTCAAAACAATTTTATTTCTTTATTTTTAATATTTTTATTTTTTTGTCCTCAATTTGATTGACAAGGTAAGCTTTTTGAAAAAAAGATTTTATTTATTTATTTTTAGAGAGAGGGGAAAGAGAGGAGAAAGAGAGGGAGAGAAACATCAATGTGGGTTTGTCTCTCACGTGGCCCCCACCAGGGACCTGGCCCACAACCCAGGCATGTGACCTGACTGGAAATCGAAGGGCAAACCTTTGTTTCGCAGCCCATGCTAAATCCACTGAGCTATGCCAGCCAGGGCTAAAAATGATTTTATTCATTTATTTTTATAGAGAAGTGAAAGCAGGGAGAAAGAGAGTGAGAGTAACATCAATATGAGAAACATCATTTGGCTGCACCATGTACATGCCCCAGACCGGGGACCTGAAGCCCGGGCTTGTGACCTCATCGGGAATGGAACTGAAAACGCTTTCTGCTATGGAACAACTCCCATCCAACTGAGCCACACCAGTCAGGGTGGTATATAGGTAATTTAACAGATACATTTTTAATGTTAACTTTTCTTGTTTCATTCTCTGTGTAGAAGGGCAATAGCTTACCATTTTTTTAATGCTGAACCGTTAAGAAAAATATTGCCTTTGCTCCTGTTTTAAGCTTAAATACATCCAGTTTTGGTAAGTAGGTATTTTTAATGGATTTTAATCAATAAAAATCATGTGTATAAAATTGTGTTATTTATTTTATTTGGAGAAACAACTGAACTTACACACCAAATTATAGGTAGATTTTCTCCTAGGTAACCTAAGAGTCTCTGCATTTACTTCCAAATTCTTCAGATTTTTTTCTTTTGGATTTATTCTTAGAAAAAAAATTGTATGTCATAGAACAAAATCAAATTATTTAAACAACACATCAAATATTCCATCTTCAATATTGACAAAAATTATAACATTTACTAATATATCATAAAGATGGTACTTACATATGGAGGAAATCATGAAAAAGCTTATTGTACTTGCATCCCTAAGTATATTCATTTACAAAATACTTTTGCCTATTCAAAAAAGAAAAAGGCAGACAGAAAAAAGTTACTTTCAATGATTGAAGTAGATATTACTAAAAATATTCAAAAACATATGCTACATATTCTAAAGTAATTCTGAACTTAAAATATACTTTTTCCAAAATATCCACTTATAATTAATTCCTCTATTTTGATTAAAATTTTTATTGTCTACTACTAAATGCAATAATAGTACTGTATCTCTTTCTCTCACTATTAGCAATCTTAAAACCACCCTTAAATATTTCTTTGTACCTATAGATATATACAATTGTATAAATAGGGTAATAAGATTTTTGTATTTTCATCTGAAAACCTCCTTGGGGGGCCTATTTATCTCTCTCTTCTCCTTCACTCTTTCCTCTCACCTACACCAAGAAAATAAATATTAATTTGGAGTCTACATGTTATACAATCTTTATGTTTATATGCAAACATATGTACAAATATATATTCATAGATATGCACAGAGTGAAACTTTCAAGACTTCATTTTGTTTGTGTAATGTGATGCTTTCATGTATATTTCTCTGCATCTTACTTTCCTCACTTTTTTAGCAATTTTTGGCAATTGATATTTCCTTGAGTCAACTTGTAGAGCAATAACGCATTTTTAAATGACTGCCATAATATTGCTGGGTTCACCAGGATCTGTTCATATTTTGCTTCATCTTGACTGGTTTTCATGTTGTTTCCATTCTTTGCCACATGAACACCACAGCAGTAGACTCTTCTCCCTGTGAACTGCTATGTAATTATTATAGGATGGATTACAAATGTAGCTTGCTGGATTGAAGAGCATTTTCATTTTTAAAAGATACTGCCAAATTGTTTTTAAAAGGCTTAATAATTCACATTTTCATCAGTCAGTTTGAGAGTGGACTTTTTCAAATCCCTGTAAGCAGTAAATTTTGCTAATCTGAGGGAAAAAAGTCTCATCGTTATTTTATTTGCACATCCTGAGCAATGGAGAAGGTGAGCATCTTTCCCTACATTCATAAAATGTGTTGACACATTGCTCTGTGACTCGCCCATTCAATTTCATTTTCATTCTTCTATTGAATTATTTGAGTTTTCCTGTCAACTTGTAATATGTATTTGTATGTGATAGGTATAAATATTTTACCTATCATATTTATTATACATTTTCTTCTGAAGTTTTATTCATCTTTTACCTGATTAGAGACTTAATATATACTCCATTTTCTTGAAGTGAAAAATTAGATTAAATCTATCTATTTCTTTGTAATTTATGAGTTCTTATATTAGTCAAAGACTTTTGTAATATATTTAAATTGTATCTATTTTATGAAATGTCTTAGAATGTTTTAATTACTTGTTATTAATTTTTTTAATTTTTAAGTCCTTGATCCAGCAGCTTATTAAAAACAGGCATAGGAAAGGAATCTATTCTTACTTTATTTCTGGATATATAAACAAATACAGCCATACTATTTATTGGATAAATCATTACTTTTCTCAACTGAACAATCATCCATGTAATGTATTAAATTCCAGTATACACTTGAATGTGTCTTTGGAGTCTTTATGTGGTTCACTGTCATATTTTTCTGTTTCCATGCCATGTCATACTCTGTTGAAGAGCTTTATGTTTTAACACTTGCTGCTGCATGCTTGACTTTCTTACTCTTTATATTTTTTTTTGTTTCCTCAAAAATGTTTTATTTTACATGAATTTTATGCTCATGCTACTACATTAAAAAGTGATTAGTGAGGGGAAGGAACTACTATGAGGGACACATGGACAAAACCAGGGGGGAGGATGGAAGCAAGGGGAGGAAGTGGGTTTGGCTGGGGTTGTGGGGTGTTTGGGGGAAAATGCAGACCGCTGTAATTGAACAACAATAAAATAATTATTTAAAAAACTAACATGGGCCCTGGCTGGCGTAGCTCAATGGATTGAGCGTGGGCTGGGAACCAAGTGTCCCAGGTTCGATTCCCAGCCAGGGTACATTCCTGGGTTGCAGGCCATAACCCCCAGCAACCGCACATTGATGTCTCTCTCTCTCTCTCTCTCTCTCTCTCTCTCTCTCTCTCTCGCTCTCTCTCTCCCTCTCTCTCCCTTCCCTCCCTAAAAATAAAATAAATAAATAAAATTAAAAAAAAACTAACATGGAAATTTAACTGGAACATGTATTTGCTATTGTTTATAAAACAGGCATAAAAGGTGAAAAAAGTGATTAGGATTCTAAGTGAAATTCATTTAAACTCTACTGACATATCCATAATACTTTCTTCTTATCTAAGAATACATCTGGCTATGTATTTCTTCAGAAACTATATAATGCCTTTGGGTTAGTTTTTGTAGTTTTATTTACAGAGGTGTGAAATATTTTTAAAATTATTTCAAGGTATTCGAAAGTGCTATGGCTAATAAAATGGACATGTTTTTCTCTATTTCTCTTTCTTTCTGGTTATTGTTTTCATAGAAAAATCTAGTGATTATTTACATATTCATCCTCCATCTGATAATTAATAAATCAGTCTTATTTGTTTAATTATAACAATATAACATCAGTAAGAAATATAATTTTTTCTTACAAGTTTATGATATTTTATAGCTTTACTATATGTATACTATTTCATTTTACTTAATATCTTAGCTATATCAAAATTTCTAAGATAATACTTTATAATAATGGTCAGAGTGAGCATTCCAGTCTGTTACTAAGTTGAAGAGATATGCTGTATTATTTAGAACGTGTGCTATTAGTTTTGATAACTAGTCTTTAGCATATTAAAAAAACTTAAGATGGTTATTAAATAGCAATCAATTTTTCCAAATTAAAAAATAAGGCAACATCTTTTAGGCAACAAAATCTTCACATTTTATAGATGCTTTTTGCCTGACTTTCAGGACCAGTTTCCCAAATACTTATGATTGTAAATATTTTTACTCATGAGTAAGGTAAATGTTCTGATTAAAGGGGATGCATAAACCAGGAAGATGTGTTTATTTATAAAAATAAAATGTTACTTTTATGGTATTTGATAGCTGTGTTCTTCACTTATTCTTTCAATGCAGTGACCAGCCTGAGTGAATATGATGGAGGTAAACAAGACACAGGTGACAGAGTTTGTTCTCTTGGGGCTTACAGATCTTCCGGGGCTTCAGGTGCCCCTGTTTCTGGTGTTCTTGGTCATCTATCTAACCACCATGGTGGGCAACCTTGGACTCATTTTTCTCATCTGGAAAGATCCCCATCTTCACACACCTATGTACTTACTCCTTGGCAGTTTAGCCTTTGCAGATGCCTGTTCTTCATCATCTGTGACTCCCAAGATGCTAATTAATTTTTTATCTAAGTATCACATGATATCCTTGGTTGAGTGCATCACTCAATTTTACATTTTTGCCTCCAGTGCAAACACAGAATGTTTTCTCCTGGCAGTGATGGCCTATGACCGCTATGTAGCCCTATGTAACCCCTTGCTTTATCCAATAGTGATGTCCAATGTCTACTGCTTTCAATTACTAGGTGTTTCATATATTATCGGGTTTCTTCATCCCATGATGCATGTTGGTTTGTTATTTAGATTAACTTTCTGCAAGTCCAATGTAATACAATATTTCTACTGTGAAATTTTGCAACTGTTTAAAATTTCCTGTACTGACCCTGGAGTTAATATGCTCCTGATTTTTATATTTTCAGTGTTGGTACAATTTTTCACCTTTATGACCATTATAGTCTCTTACACTCATGTCTTCTTTGTCATCCTAAAAATGAAGCTTGAGAAGGGCAGAAGCAAAGCCTTTTCCACCTGCAGTGCCCACCTGCTCTCTGTTTCCTTGTTCTACGGCACTCTCTTCCTCATGTATGTGCGTCCTGGGTCTGACCTCATTGAAAATCAGGATAAAATGTATTCTGTATTTTACACAATCATAATTCCTCTGCTGAATCCTTTTATTTACAGTCTGCGGAATAAAGAGGTTCTAGGTGCCTTGAGGAGAACAATAAACAAATAAACAGATTTAAAGGCAAATTTCACTTGTTCTTTTCAAACTTTGCACAGTACAAGGTATCTGGAGATACGAAAGTCAGCCCTGTCTTTATCATTTTGACAGGGTGCTAGTGTCTATGGTAGTTTGTGAGTGCTGTGTGATAATGAAAGTCAGATTCAACGGATTTTTGTTCAGTGGACAAGCTTTATATCACATAAAGCTAAATTTCTCATAAAGAATAGAACACATTTTTTAAAATTAAGCACTTAAGAAGCAACCTAAGTGCCCATCAGGAAAAGAATGGATCAAAAAACTGTGGTACATTTATGCAATGGAATACTACACAGCAGAAAGAAAGAAGAAGCCCCTACCCTTTGAGAAAGCCTGGATGAATCTGGAGAGCATTATGCTAAGTGAAATAAGCCAAGTGGTGAAAAACAAATACCATATGATCTCACCTACAAGTGGAACCTCATCAACAAAACAAACAAGGAAAATATAACCAGAGACATGGAAATAAGGAACAAACTGACAGTAACCAGAGGGGGGTGGGACAGGGATAATGGGAGGAAATAGGGAAAGGGTTGTCAAGGAACATGTATAAAGGACACATGGACAAAACCAAAGTGGGGTAGGATCAAGGGTGGAAGGTGGGGATGGGTGGGGCAGGGGGCAGTACTGGGAAGAAAATGGAGACAACTGTACTTGAACAACAATTTTTTAAAAAGGTGAAGGGGTTGAGAAGTACAGGTTCGTAGTTACAAAGTAGTCACAAGGATGTAAAATGTAGCATAGGGAATGCAGTCAATTATACTTTAATAGCTATGTATGCCATCAGGTGGGGGCTAAGTCTTACTGGAGGGATCACTTTATAAATTATGTAAATGTGTAACTACTATGCTATACACCTGAAACTAATATAAAATAATATTGAATGTTAATTATTTTAAAAAGAGAAAAAAATGCCTCTTAAATCTAAAAAAAATAAAATGTGCAATTTTTTACTTTTTAAAAATTCCCTCTACATTAGATATAGTAGCTTGTCATTTTACTGTTGCAACTATTTGCACATCTCTTTATCTGAGGCTGCTGTGACTGAGCCAAGATGATTGTTCAGAGTTTCCTTATCAAAATTCTTGTTGTTTCTCAGCAGTTCTGAGACTCAGGTAAAATGACTTCTTAGAGAAAGCTATCACTGAAGAGAAAACTTCCTTTGTAGTAAATATTTTTTATATAAAAATATATTGGTGGATTTTATTGAGAATAATGGAAGTTGAGATGAAATAAAGTGCACTATTATATAAAAGCACTCTCAAATATATGAAAACAAAGTACTTTTTATCATGAAAAATATAGGCAATATGGATATTGAAGAATTTCCAGAATTAGGAAGGTTTCAGGGTATATCTGCTTAAATATTTGAATTCTACTATCTTTACAAGTTTAATAAAGCAGAAGTTCAGAAATTTGCAGTTGTCACTCTGCTCATAATCTCTTACATGTTTATTATTATTTAAGTAAAAATTATTTACTTCTGCAGTTACATGATACAACATATATCAATTTGGGTGCCACTGTGAAATGATTCTCATAAATAAAATGATTGCAAACAAATTCAATGTAATTTTTTTCATTGAAATTCACAGAAATGCCTAGTGATTTTCTTTATTGGCCATCTCCTAAATTTAGAGGAACTATAAAGTGGTAAATGTACAATCTGTTTAAAATTGTAGTATTTCACTACCCATGGCTGCTGCAAAGTCCTCAGCAATACCAGACTGAGCAGTAAGGAAGAATTATGTATACAGAAAACCTGATGTGTGGACAAAACAGTATTCAAGATAAAAGTATGCAAGGCTCAGACTGAAGTAAAACACTGCACTGTACACACTGAAGCCAATAGAATTCAAAATTTCTTTCAATCAGATCAGTACCAGGTGAAAATGGTCCTTGTCATATATTAGGAAGGACTTCACAGAAGTATCTTTGGTACTGATGGAGATACAAGTGCCCAATCCATCCATTCTTCTGCAAAGTCCCCTGCCCTTTCTTCAAACAGGCAGAGGAAAAAGGTTTAGATTGTGAAGAAGGGCACAATTATTTCAAAGCTCAGGAGCTGTGAAGCCATACAATATTAAAACTTCTCTGAAAATTTCAAAGATTGTAGTATTTACCTTTTAAGAGTATTTAGGAGCGAATCTGCTACTGGAGGGGAACTATAGGGCAATTACAACTTCTAAGCTAGTGATTTGAGAATGGGCAAGTCAGGCTCACTGAGTCTAAATTAGAGCTTATCAGGCCATTTCCTAGAAACAATGGATGTCACCCAAAGTACACTAACCACAAGGAGAATATGCTCCTGGGAAAGAGCCCCGTACTCCTGGGGTAAAGAGAGCTACAAGCTTCCATACAGACAGACTAGATTATTAACAAGGAAATATATAAGTACAGTACCATCTGACTTCCCATCTGTTGCACCGAAAGTACAAAAACAGTGGGCCAACATTTATAAACTACTCATGGAAAAATAATGGGATACGTGAGTACTGCTGAGACAAAGCATGTGCAGAAGGACCATGAGTGACTGTGCAGGCTGCGTGCACTGCTAACCTCAGGGACGCTGTTCACAATACAATATTGTGTGGCTGGCTGCCCTGTGGATAAGACACTATAACCCTGGATCAGTGGATGATAATAATGTGACTGGGAACTGTATTACAAGTATTAATTAGATGTTGAAGACTTTAAAACAAACTAACATTCATCTCTCTTTTAGCGAAATTTTAGCCAATATCAGAAACTCTTGCAGTTAAGTGGCCCTACATTAAGTGTTATGTAGTACAAATTATATGCTATGACTCACTTTGAGACACTGTGTCCCACTTTTCTAATCCCATAAAAACAAATTTCATTTCTTTGGTTATTTGTGAACAGACCACACCTTTAGTTTTTTTTTGAGAATGAATTGCTTGAGGAAAACTCTGACCCACTGTAATAGTAGTGTTGAATGGCTCATTCAATGAGAATCACAGATCACATCACTCATTGATTCCTCCTATATGTTCCCTGTCACAGATGCTGTTGGTGCCTGCCCATATCTTCACTAATTGTTTGCATCTCTGGTAGGTTTGCATCTGAGGACTTTCACTGTTGGCCAGAGCTATTCTACCCTCACTTAAGTCATCCTAAGATCTAGGGAATGAGTGCTATTCATGGAATCTCCCCTAGACCATTTATCAACAAATGGGAGGTGATAGGAGTTGGTGAATAAACTCCCCAACTGTTTGTCCTTTGGCTGATATAAATTTGAAGTTCATTCTCTACACTGGCTCATGGTGTTTCCAAAAGAGACTAAGCTTGGTTGTCCACATTTGTAACTTGTTTCATAGATCACTCTTCACTGGCTACATTCCCTTTACTGTCCCACTTGCTCGTGTTTTCACTCATCAACTATTCACAAATCATATCATATCTCAGCATCTGGAGAAATTAAGACACCGTGGGTTCTCTAAGGTAGAATTCAATATTTGGTATAGGAACCAGGCATACATGTATCATCTTATTTCACCATGACACAATTGTTGCTTCTATAAAAATGTTAAAGATTGGAGGCCTCTTACTACTTTGGAAATACCCTATTTATACATATGTTATTCAGATTCAAGTAGAATTTTATATTTTTCTTTTATCTTTATTGTAATTTTTGCCATTACCATTTAGTCTCCTTATACCCCCTACCCCCAGCAATCACCACATTGTTGTCTGTGTCCATGAGTCCTTTTTCATTTTTGTTCAATCCCTCCACCCCTAACTCTGCCCCCCCAGCTGTCATGCTGCTTTCCATCTATGATTCTGTCTTTGTTTTTGCTTGTTAGTTCAGTTTCTTCATTAGATTCCACATATGAGTGAAATCATATGGTATTTATCTTCCTCTGACTGGCTTTTTCACTTAGCATAGGTCCATTCTAACAGTCACAAAGGGTAAAATTTCTTCTTTTTTAATGCCAAGTAGTATTCCACTGTGGAAATGTCCCATAGTTGTTTTATCTACTCATCTACTGATGGACACTCAGGCTGCTTCCATATCTTGGCAATTGTAAATAACACTGCAATGAACATATGGGTGATTATGTACTTTTAAATTAGTCTTTTCGGTTCCTTCAGATATATTCCCAGAAATAGAATCCTTAGTTTAAAAGGTAGAACCACTTTTAATTTTTTGAGGTATCTCCGTACTGCTTTCAATGTGGCAGTACCAATCTGCATTACCACCAATGGTGGAAAGGGTTCCCCTTTCTCCTCATCCTCTCCAGCATTTGTTGCTTGTTGATTTATTCATGATAGGTATCTTATTGTGATTTAAATCACATTTCTCAGATGTTGAGTGACATCGAGCATCTTTTCACATGTCTGTTGACCATCTGTATGACCTATTTAAGTCCTGTGCTCATTTTTTAATTTAGTTGTTTGTTTTTTAGGGTTGAGTTTTGTAAGTTCTTTATAAATTTTGGATATTAACCCCTTATCAGATGTATTGGCAAATATGTTCTTTCATTCTGTGGGCTGTCCTTTTATTTTGTTGATAGTTTCCTTAGCTGTGCAAAAACTTTTTACTTTGATGTAGCCCCATTTGTTCATTTTTTCTTTTGTTTCTCTTTCCTAGCGATATATGTCTGATAAAATATTGCTATGAGCAATGTCCAAGATTTTGCTGCTTATGTCTTCTTACAGGATTTTTATGGTTTCAGGTCAAACATTTAAGTCTTTGATCCATTTTGAATTTATTCTTGTGTGTTATCTAAGACAGTGGTCTAGTTTCATTTTTATGCATGTATCTGTTCAATTTTCCCAAAACCATTTATTGAATAAACCACCTTTAGTCCATTGTATGTGCTTGCTTCCTCTGTCAAATATTAATAGACTATAATGGTGAGGGTTTATTTCTGGGCTCTCTATTCTGTTCCATTGATCTCTGTGTCTGTGTTAATGCCAGTACCATGCTGTTTTGATTACTATGGCTTTAT